TCCACACGTGGATGACGCTGTGCTGCTCGCTCTTTTGTTCCATCTTTGAAAGGAAGATGTTAAAGGAAACTGTTTGAGACTATTCTGAAGTTCACCTTTTGTTACAAGGTTGCATACATTATTTTTTTAATCTGTTTAATCAGTCTCAAGAGTCTATCCCATAAGAAATCAGATAAAGAGAAAAAAAAAGACTAGATACACTGAATAATTGCCTTGTGTTTAACCAGTAATGACAAGGATAACTGAAATCCACCTTTGCTGACAGAGAAACAAAGAGATTCTGAGTTGAAAAAGGGCCATACAGCTGCTCAGCTGCTATTCAAGTTATGACAGGATGAGGAGGAATGAACTTATTTTTTCTCTCCTTAAAACCATTCTTCCATCTGGAAGGAAGTTACTTGCAGAAGGATACCAAGTCACCCCTTTTTTACGGCATCAAAGCAAAACAGAGATGCAAGTTTTTGTCTGTTGTACATTCAACCAAAAAAGGTAATAAAATTACTTCGGTATATCACTGTCCTGACTCACCATCGCACTGATTTGTTCTGAGGAAAGATGGAAACTGGACTGACGGGACAAACAGCCCTGTTGCTATACTGTCCGCACAGCTTTGCTGGTGTGTATTGGCTAAGCCTGACAAGGATGTCACCCTGTCACCAGTCTCAGTCAATGCCAGGCCCTTTTGCCAAATACGCTGTCAAGGGTGCCAATTAGGATCTGCTAGTGAATTCCTATCTGGTAGAAATGGGACAGATATCAAATCGGACTTTGAACTTTCAGCCCAAACCAGCCTCCACAGATTCAAGAGATTTGGTGTTTTTTTTGAGAGGAGACAAAAAGGGGCAAAGGGCACATCCATGCGTGAAGGGGGAAAAAAGGAGGATGTCTCCATTTTTCTTTCTTAAACCACAGCACCATCATTTCTGGATACAGCTACAACAAATCTATTTTGCATCAGTGCCTACAGCTCCCCAACAGCAAAAAGCTGGTTCAGCATAGAGCGGCTCCCGCAGATCTCTGGACGCTGCACACATCTCAATGAGTTCAAAACCGAGAGTGCCGAACTGCTATCAGGTGAAAGGCAACAGAGAAGGTCAGCAGACTGCGTCAGAATTCAAGGACGCAGACTCCTACGGAGCGCAATAAATGGTGTAGCATAGCTCTGTGAGTGCCTAGGTAGTGTTTTCCTCTGCGGAGAGAGGCAGTGGTGGTCTGGGACCCGATTTGTGTAACAAGCTATCTAAGAGGGAGCTAATTGAAGTATATAAATCCTGAAGAGTATCACATCAAGCCAAGATACTATTATTAGCCCAACCTAGATGAGGTTATAGAAGTGCATTAAAAAAACCTCAATAAAAAAATAAGTAGGAAACATTCCCCGCTTCAAGATCCCATGAGACAAATTCTCTCAAGCAATGATTAGATTTTACCCAGAATAATAAGAAAAGAATACTAAAAATGGATGCGGACAAGAAAGGTAGAAGCAGCACAAGTTCACCCAAACAGGTCACAACTTGTTCCCAACGTTCACTGTCAGAATGTTTCAGAGTTAAAAGATCACAGCCGACTAACGGTGGCTGCTGAAAGTAAAATAGATCTATAATTCTGCAACAAAGTTATTTTTTTAATTACATGCTACTTATGTAAAACATTGATGTAAAGTTAACTGACCCAGAAGCATTTTCGGCAGTGTCCTCTGATAAACTCTGGTCTCATTCTTCCATTACCTGTCTTAAGCATATTGAATTTTCCACTCTGCCAGCTTTTACCAATCCTACCAAAGACAGAAATAGCATTTCTGGGCATTTCCATCCTTGCAATATGATCAGACTGGAAAGTGCAAGGGCACACCTCATTTTCTGTTCCAGCCATCACAACCCATGAGGAGTATATGGACAGAAAGCCACAGCTGAGAAACTAAAAGCAACAAGATGAAAAAAAAAAACCAACAAACCACAACCAAAACCCACCACAGCCTCCTCCCCCACAAAGGAAAAAACAAACAAACAAAAAAAACACCCAAAAAACACCAACAAAAAAAAACACACACACACAAAAAAAAAAAACATAAACAAACAAAAAAAACCCACCCAACAGAGAAAGTAAAAGGAAGATGGAAAAATGAAAAGTGCATGCAGTGAAGAAAAGAGACTGAAGTGAAGCAGGGCAAGGCAAGCATCAGCAAGCACCACCCACTATTTCTGACCTTGGAAATGAAGTCCATAACACTGAGAAGAAACAGGTAGTGTAACTTTCTGCCCATTCCACACCCACTTCACTTTAAAGAACCACTATCTTAGGAAAAAAACCCAATCAAGCTCCATGGAGAGACAAAAGCTTTAATGTAGTTTACACTGCACGCCCTGCAGAGTACATCTACTTTAAAGACCTTCCTTCTCTGATTTTTTCATCTCAAGCTTCATTTGGAAAAGAAAAACAGATCTTACTGAAGGATTTCTTGGGTCAACTTCTCTAAAGACAGATTTAGGGGGAGCTGAAAAAAAAAAAGAGAGCTTTGCATTTCTTTGAAAGATAATGCTTTGTGCCATGCTGCCACTGGGGAAAGACTTTTGCCATTGTTCCAAGTGTGGTACCATTTACTTCCACCTCAAGCAGTATGAATCAATACCTGTATTTCGCTAAAATGGAAGAAATGCAGCTAGATAACATCGAGGCAGATCTAGGAGACATCCGTATCCATTCAAATATGAAGCGCCAGGTAGGCAGCATCCCTCCATTCAGGCAGTGTCTGAACACAAGTGCGACATGACAGGTGCACTCTGTGCCTACACTGACGAGACTCTGTAAAAGCAGCTCAGTGTTCCACTATCTTTTGGGCCACATTTTGTCTGATTTTTTGTGGTAAGACTGGAAACCCACAGGAAGGCATTGTTGCAGCCTCCTGTTCGCACCTGAAGTTGTAGTGAAACAGGACCAAAAAAAAAAGTGCTTCACGTGTAGTTTGTAGTCTATCATCATCTCCTTTTCTTGAAATAATGGCTTGCCTCCCTCTGGTTTTTAGGTTGCTCTTCAGAGTGCAGTATAAACTCTGTTATTGCATAAACACTCTCAGAGAAGAGGGTAATGGGCAGTCAGCTTTCCTTGGAGCTCGTTAGCTCGCACAGCAACCTTCAGGCAGCCTCACACACAAACTAAGTAGACTAATTTCAGCTCTATGAAAAATAAAGTGTGTCTTTGCTGACTTGGTCTTAAAGCCTATTGCCTTTGCACAGGCCTTGAAGAACTAAGGGACAGAGACAGAATTACCAGCAATATTTTTCCTTCACCCCTTTCCTGTGAGTCAATTATTCAAATCCTTTACCTCTGACTGTAAATTTTATCAGCATGCCTTCATCTGTTTTAACAGTGCATCACAGGCAGTGCTATTCTGCAGAACATCTTCACAGAGAAAGCTCTGTATAAAGTCAAGGGAAAGGCCAGTTTTCATTTTCAGTATAAGGCAGTCATTTACTTAAAGAAAATCCAGGAAATCCAATTCAACTATACCAAATGTGAAGTATGAGATTATTGGACTGAGGTCACAAGAAGTGTATCTGAGGTCACAAGAAGTCTATCTTCTCTTAAGGGCAGATTATTTTTGACATTAAGCAGCTGTGAGTATATTTCAGAAAGAAAAAAGGTTCTCTTAAAGATTATCTTTTTCTGTTTATAACTCACTCAGAGTGAATTCATAAATCTTGGCTGGGCTTTTAATTCACTGGGAAGCATATACATATATATATATATATATATAATATATATAAAAAAATCTAATCCAATCCTTACAGAGAACTTTTCCAGCCAACATCCTTAGAAAGAAAAAGTTACACATACACAAAATGTTAAATCCCAAATAACTTTTCAAATATGCAAGACGTTGTCCCCTTAGATTATGTCATTAAGAATGAGGTTAGATTGCAATCATTTGCCATAATAAATAATAATGCAAAGTCATTCAGCTTAGAAACAGCAATCCTACCTTCGAAGAAGACATAACCTGGACATTTTTAATGTGACAAGAAAAAAAAAAAATCAATACAAATTTGATTTCCATCTCACTTCGTCAATAAAAAGATAAGGGAGCTGATTTAGAGGGAAAGGTGGAGGGCAATGTCCAATGTTCATTAAACTGAACAGGCCAGTGATTCAGTAGGTTCAGGCACTGACATTTTTAATACTGATAAAAATAATTTTATGTAAGCTGAATGCCAGAGGCTTGGATTTACTTCAAAAGAGTACTTACAATTTTGGTATGGTCCACTAGAGCACAGTAGTTACCAGAACATTTATTTATAGTTACTCCCACTAACACAGTGTTATCACAAAAAAGGTTTGGTTTATATTCATAGTGTAAAGATGAAAAACATAGAGCAATGGAAAAAGATGCGAAGCAAGACTTTGTTATTCTTACAAAAACATTACTCCCTGGTAATTCTGTTAGCAGTGTACGTAATCTTGTTCTCAGGAAGCTAATAAAGGCACGGCAACGCGGGCAGCTCCATGCACCTGTACCTTCTCAAGTCCAGCGTTCTGTGTAACAGCATGTTTCAACGCTGATTAACAACGTTACTGAAATCCAGTGAAACTTAAGTGTGTTTAAGTTAACCAGTCAAAAAACATCCTCAAACTGAAAAAGGTTGCCTCTTCATTGCACTTGCCTACAGATATACATTAACACTAAAACATTTGGCAAGTTGTATTGACTACTATAAAACCTAAAAATCCCAACAGTAATTTCAATCTAAAACTGCTTTTAAATCTGAAAACCTCCCCAAAACCCAACACTATCACAATCTAAACAGTCATCAGCATTCAGAATGGACATTTTTAGATTTCAAGTTTCTCTGGGTTTCCTGATCTATACGGTGTCCTAAACATTATCTTTAGAAAACGTAAGGAAGCAAAGTACTCTGAACTCAGGGAAACAAGAGTTTGCAGATGAAGCAAATTTATTGTTCCAAGTGTTGAAATTAGGAAGTATTTTAAATCAACAGCCACACACTATTGTAACATGGAATATATATATCACAGAGCCTTGTAGGTAACCCATGGTTTAGAAAGTCAAAGATGCTCCCTGCATAAAGGGCAGGCAGAGAACAGCATCGCTGAGGTACTAGTCCCATTTCTTTCAGGCAAATCACTGCATAGATATCTAAGGTTAAGTAGTTCTGATGTTTTTCTGAACAGCTTTTTTCAGAATCAGAAGATAACATAATGAAAATACATTGTATTTGAAACCAAAGAGCAGCATATTAGACATGCACTGGTAGAAAACATCCTGTGTGCGATCCGAGATGTTACAAGTACCATACACAACTTGGATGTTAATCTAAAAGCATACTAATTTAATTCGACTTCATTTTTTGTGGAAAAAATGGTCTTATTCATAAAAATGGAATTCTCAACATTCAGCTGTGGTAGATATAACACGAACATACAGAGTCTTCATGTTCAGGTTCTTCATGGAGATGTCCTTTGTGATCTCTGAACCAAGAAAACAAGGGAGAAACAGAACAGTTAGTCCTCTTGCTTACAAGTAAAACTATCAATGCTTTTTTTTTTTCCTTCATTCATAAGAATGGCCATACTAGACAGATCAGAGACCCATCTCCTCTAGTATCCTGTCTCTGACAGAAGACAAAAGAACACGTGTGAAGGAGTACAAAAATAAGAAGATGCATAGGTTAACTTGTTTTACATGTACAGCAAGGACTGTAGCAGTATCTGCTGACTAACTAACTTTGCAATCTTGTCGAGTATGCCTAAAGAATTTCATACCATACCAGATCAGTTCCTTAAGTTGTTTCATAGCTAAATGCACACAGTTCCAAACAGTAATAGGATCAAGTCTGACCAACAAACCTCTTTTAAGGATATAGCACATTTCTAACAGGCTGATTCGGGGTTTATAACTAGTTTATGAAACACCAACACAGAGTAATCACACTTTGTGGCTACAGAAAAAGTCATCTGCAGAGTTGGTAGGAACTGGAAATCTTTTTCATTGTTCTTGCCACCTTATAGAGCGTTTTCCCCAGGAAGTTCGATGCTTGCTACCTCAATGCTGCTCAGCACCCGTCAGCTGTAGCAAACCACCCCAGTAACAGAGCACATTGTTTTGAATACTGGGAGGTACAGCTTTGGAATGAAACTAATCTGAGTAACTAATATACCAGAGGTGTCTCTACTAGGAAACTTCAAAGTCGTAAGGAACTTCAAAGTGGTAACCACAAATACCTCCAATGAAACCAAAGCAAGAGAGTATCAGGGGGTTACGGTGTCACTCTGCATGCTAGAATCCCTATAGACAACACGAGCAAATACAAGATAATTTTAAATTTTGGCACTAGTGTTAGCACAAACGACAGATTAATAGCATTCAGAACGGCTGAGTGTTTTTTCAGCAGAAACAATTCTGTGTACTGCACTGTGTCACAGAACTGAGGTCCGATCCTTGCGCTGCTCTAGCGCGGGCTCCCCTCCAGCTGACAGCCCCCGAGGCACCGCGTGTGGGGGGAGGCAGGTCTGTCAAGTGCATCCATGGAGATAATGTGAAAGCAGTTTACTTCTCAGTAACATGATGTCCGAGTGAAAACTGATTCTAGAAATGGTAGCAAGGAGTTTTGTTTCCATGTAACACTATGCACTCTAACATTCCAGGCTGTATCTTTCTTGGAAAAGTATTTCATTTTTAGACTGAGCAGATGTAGTCTGCAGCAAGGTTTAAAAGCCATCTATTAATTAAATAATTAACAAGCCCTTATGGATCATAACGGTACTGGTTTTAAGGAGTTCTCTTCCAGCGCTCTGCTTTAAGCAGCTGAATACCCATCTACAGAGCTAAAAGAGTGGAGGTATAATCCAATTCAGCAATTAGGGCTCTATTTCCTCATTAACCCTCCTTCCCTCCCCATGAAAATGTTACATCAGTACATAAAAAAGTTATTTCGGTCTGCAGAAGCAGCCAAGCAAACTACGAACTTGGTCTTAAAGTCTTTTTTAAATTATTTATTTTTTAATTCCTGAAAAATTAGGAACTACATGAAGCTACTATTGTCAGCAGTATTTAAGACAATAATTACTATTAGAAATTGGAAACTTGGTTTATCGACAAAATGTACAGACATTCTTCTTTCTGTGCCAGCTCCTCCAAAGGAGAACTTTGAAGTTAGCACATTAAAAACGATTGCCTTCATCCCGAATGTGCCTCTGGATCAGCTACCTGTAACTCATGTTTCAGTCTCCTGAACAAGCAATGCTCACCACTTTGACATTTATTTACAGAATTTTTTTCCAATATTCCAAAAAGGGGTGAAAACCATGTTTGTTTCTGAAGGCCTGGCAAGCCTTTGTGCAACAGACAGCAGATGCCCAACTGCCTCTACCTGGCAACATTTATAAAAGTAGTATTTTCAAAACTGATGACTCATTTTCCTCCAAGTGATTTTTTTTCTTTTTATAAAAATAGGCATCAACCTACCAATTCGTGCATTATTTTCAAATGGTTAACATCAAATACTTTATTTTTTATTTTTAGAATAAACCATAAAAAACCCACTCAAGAAAAGAGACTGAACTTTTTGTTTTGAAGGTAGGACCTTAAAATAGATTGATAAAAAGCTGAAGAGGAGATTACAAAGTTACAACACCACACATATAAAGCAACTGAACTAATGTTTTCCAGAGGCATCCAAATATTTGTTTTATATGCAGCACTTATTTATCACATAAAGAGATCTGAAGATGAAGTATGACCATTTCAGTGTTTATACCATTAAAAAACGTTATTAAAAGAGCTGCATGGTGAGAATAGATCTGAGAGAGCAGAAGCATAGCTATATGGCCTAAGCATGTGTTAGCTACAGAAATAAACCTCCAGGACCAAGTTCTCCACGTTCTGAGTCTCAAAAAGACCAAATCAGTTGTTTCAGCCTTTGAAGAGTTTTCACATCTGATCTTCCACATCATCGAGAACTGACACTTCGTATGTTTTATTTAAACTTTAATTAGTTCTGGAGAATTCATACTGCAAATATGTTAGAGCAATTTACCTTTTAGGTAAAGGCATTTTAAAAATCCTTACTTAAATTGAGACTTAAAGGCTATAAATTTTCCTGTTTTGTCAGTTACTTCCCTTTTTCAAAGCTCAAAAGTTTTCTACAATAGTTATTCTAGTATCTTAGTTAAATCATATGCTGCTGTGGGCCCTTGTGTCCTGTAACAATGACAGAAACCAAAAAAGAAGTAATTTAGCATCCATTGTGCCTGAACGGCTGAATTCCCAGTCAGCAAGGTTTCGCACATAAATCCATTTTTCGCTTATGCGAATGAAGTGTGATTGATAACTCGGTTCTTGCACCTTGTGCTGTTTCTAAACACTACAGTCTCCAGTTCTCTGTGTTTGTTAACACCATTCAGCACGTTATTTTTAGCATTAGCTCAAACTACCACTAGAAAGTCTCGTCAACATTTGAGATGCATTTTACTTACAAAAATGGCTTTTGATTAATCAGTTTAGGTCACACAAAATTTAAAAAAAAACACAAAAAAAACCCACAAAAACAAACAAAACCCAACACAACCCAAAAAACAACCAACCAAAAAACCACAATAAAAAAAACCCCACACCTTACTTGCTCGGATTCTAATCTATCCTACTTGAATCCCTTCAACCCAGGTGGACAGCCAAGTGATCCCAGCTTTAGCCAGCTGCACTAGAGCTACACTCCTCTCCTCATCAGTTGACAGGCACCTCCAGAGGAAATTCATCCCATCCTATGAGCAGATAACTAGTTTAAACAAAACGTGTAACTTCTGGACAGGTAACCTAACATGGGATAAGTTAAGGTTAAGTGTCATGTATCCTTCCCAAACCGCTTGTAAGTCATGTGGTTATGATAAAATGGAGTCAGAATCCTTCACATCATTTCATTTGAAGAGCTGAATTTCCTGAATACACAGAAATATCTGGGGGTTTTACTATATAGTTCCCAATCCATTCTTCTTGTCAAATAAAGTCCCAAGTCTTTACCAGGTCCGACTTTTTAGCACTACAGGTGGCCGCATCTTTAGTCTTACATTTCTCATGAATCAGAGATTTTTGTTTCTAAGTCTCACCATCTGTCTGTGGTTTTGGAAGATTCTTTAACACTTCCCATATGTGACTGTGTCAAAGCTTCCTACTTCCCAGGTATTCTGAATGAATTGCAGCTGCTGTACCCTACCAAGTCTGACCTACTCACACAACTCTAAAATAGATCTGATACTCTTTTCCCCCACACCCATTCTCAGAAGGAAGAAGACAAAAATCCACAAAAACATGAACATTACAGGAACAATTTGAACAGATTGTTAAAACATTCATACTTCAGACTCACTTCTAGGAGGAGAATCACTCTCTCTGCTAGTCACAGCAGCATGTAAACCACCATTTACATTGCTGACTGAACTTTTTATTTCAAAAGGAAGAAACTTCTACAGAACTTGGCTTGTCCATTTCATGAAGGGAATGCATTAAAGTTTTGAATTTCTAAATGTATATGTGTTTTTATGTTGAACCACTGGGCAAAATTAGAAACCAATGTGTAAATAGTGTGCATTTAGTAATTCATCTAGATCTCAGGTAAGGGGTTTCACTAGCTGCTCCTCAACAAAATATTCTAAGAATCCTTGGACAAGCAACCCAAAAGTTTACGCTTACCCTGAGTTTGCGCTTCATCCAGGAACAACTTTAGCCTCCTGCTTCGGAGTCCAAACACTTTTGCCGTTTCATGTAGAAGAGCTTGGTAGGTTAATCCATTCTTACCAACAGGGTTCTCCATTAGAAGAGTTCCGACTGTTCCTTTCTGACATTCTGAACAAGATAAACAGTTGGATCACTATTGGTGAGGAATGATACTAGCTCATTTATCTTGGTAAAATGAAAGTTAGGATTTCTTCTTCCATTTAATCTCTATTTCTTCATAGTGCTGAGTAATTACCAACACTCACAGCTATTCACTACGTAAGTTCACAGAGCATAGAATCAGAAGTGTGAGTGGTTATTAGTAGGCTGACAAACAAAAGAAAACTTTGCAGAATTCTCTACATTGGTCACAGGAAACATGAAATATTTCAACAGGACACACAAACCACTAACAACTAGGGAAGCTCGCAAAGCGCCTTCTAATGATCAAATCCCAAGTTAAAAACACTTTTTTTGGCCCAAGTAGGTTCCTGGTAGCATCAATAAGATTCCATATGGACACAGTCCAGAAAGGACTCATACCAGGGCAGAGATCAAGAGCGAGTTACAAACAACATAGCTTTTCCCATGTGAGGGTTCACAGTAGAAGTCACAAGATCAGCAGCTGTGGAACAGAATTACTTATCTATACTCCAGACCAGGTTAATAATACAATTCATTTCGATTTTAAATTGCACTAAGAAGCATTTCACAGGCTGTTTACGATGTCTTGGTAAAGAGATAGCTGCTCCTTCGTTTTTGGGCAGTCTTTTAAAATAAACTGCACAGGTGAGATGATGTTCAGAAATGGGAAAATGCTGAAGGGCTCATGTTTAAATGCTGTCCCTTATCTCAAACTGGCTCTCCTTTTTCTTTTACTAAAAGAGGGAGAAAAGCTAAATACAAACATCATGTTTACCAGACAGCACATACTAGGAAAAAAATAATCAAAATCACCATCTACCAATGAAAATATATGTACTTATCTTCACCAATAAGCAACGATGTCCAAAACTTATATGACAAAAAGCTCAGCCTGTAAACGAGGAGAGATCAGTATCCTACATACCTTGTGGTTTTGCATTCATTAACTGCAAGTTGATATACTGGCAGAGCAGAGCATCAGGAGAGTTGATCAGAGCAGGTGCTGACCCTGTTGTCACATGTAGAGTCTTTCCGCTGAGACTAAGCAAGTCAGTTTTGTTTATCAATTCTGAAAAAGAAAATGAGAGCAGTCAGGCCATTACAGGGAAGCCAAGGTCCAGTTCTCACTCGATTAACTGACAATGAGTCTTTCTAACTACTGATTCCACTGTTGGAAGCCTTTCCCTCTTCACAACTCCTTCCTTAGAAAAGGGCATTTCTCCATTTTGAAAAATGGAATTTGTGCAGAAGCGTTTTGTTTTCTTACCAACACAGAGTACTTCATCTGCTCTGGAAATTAGCTCCTATGTACTATTTCTTATGCACATAAACATACAACATGATTACTTATGCAAAACAGTTAAATAACCTAAAACAAGCAAGAAATGATTCACTTAAGCCAACAATTTCTATCTCATTAAATTAAGACCTATGACCTTTGTCTGTGCCTGCCTTCGCTAGCCGAAGCAGCACTGGGTATGTGTTACTATGCAACATCAGGACATTTCCCGCATTAAACTCCAGATGACAATAAAGGTACAGGCAGGAGCTGGTTAGCTCATGAATAATGCCCTCTGCATTAATATTTGTGCTTAATGTCAACAACAGCTGATGATTCTGCAGCTGACTCCAGCCATGCATATTTAGAAAATGGTGGAAGATCAGACCCCAGACAGGACCTAGGTCTCAAAGGAGTTAGAGACATGGTCTCTATTCTACTTCATTTAGAAGTAATACCAGCACCCTGAAAGCACTCAGATGAGACGTTAATGAGGTTTCTGTGATGCAAATGAAATACGTAGGGCTGCATTCTGCACTACCTACACCAGCTTGTCTGTCACTGAGGAAAAAAACAGCTGCTGATAGCCACAACATTAAAGATACAGAGAAATAACATCTCTCTGCTACAGAGCTTTTGCAGCTACAAAAGGACTCCAAAGACCAAATACAGGAAGAATTAATAAATTTAATTTCTTGTAATAATTGTGCATTGCCTGTACATATGGAACAGGCACATCTGTCATCTCCTTCCAACAGGTTTTTATTCCCTATCAGCCCTACTCACATGTCATGGAGCCTAAGCTTCACAAAGCTTATTTTCCATCAGTTCAACTGAATGAATTAAAAATCAACAATATATAAAAATATATATAAAGCTTTAAAGAAAAAGGTGAAACTTCAGTATTGCTTCTAAAATTCAAGTTTTCAAGAATCTTTCAAGAAACTGAGTTTACAATGATGGTGGCCACCTGCCAGCTACCCAAACACTCCTTTGGTGCGTTTGAAGTGCAGGCGCATGCTCAGGCACAGGAGGGAGCTTTGCTTTTGGTTTTACTTACAGGAAAGCAAGAAAATATCTAAATTAACAAGTGGAGGGGAATTAACAAGATTTCATCATTCAGAAAGTGAGTCAGCAGCAGGTTCTTCCTGGCACAACCCTAACGCAGCACTGCTTGCCATTTACATACAATTAACTCCTGGGTCACAGGTCGGAGGCAGCACTAGGAGCAGGGCGCTTTACAGAGCAAGAAACACTCGGCTCAGGGAACTCCGAGTTTGCCATTACCCAGTTGCAGGATCTGTGCAGATCTGTGCGGGGCAACAGGGCATGAGCTACAATAATGGTGATTTGTGTATTTAACAAATGTAGCATTTTGCTGACATTTTCACAGGAAGAGCTCAGGTACAGTGCTGTCAGTGGAGCTGGTTCATGTAACCCTCTAGTAAGAAAGAGCAAGGAAAAGTGGATCATTTTTCCATATATAATGATACACTTGAAAACAAGCGGATATTACAAGTGCTCATCAATATTAAAATCACTTTTAAAGTCAGTTCTCCCCGCAGCTGAGATTTAAGCAGCAAGACTCTTCTAAGGCACCTTAGAGCCTCATGGCCTTTTAAAAATTAAAGATTAAAAAAATCTTTTTGTACTCTTGTTCAGAAAACAGTGCTAAGAATAGAATTTCAAAAAAATAACCATCTGAAAATCAAAAAGATGAAATAAGATGTGAACTAAGAAGTTTGTAAAGGGATTTTTGCATCACCTTCCTCCCCGCACCTGCCTTTAAGCCCTGCTTTATTTACAGCTTCATTTATTCTCATAAAGATTATTTTTTTTTAAATAGGTCTTTTTTAATATGGACTACTTCCATGAAAGCTGAGTGCAACTCAGAAAGCATTCCCAATAAGTTTAGAAAGTTTCCAGCTTTTCAGCAATGTAGAGCAAAAAGAAAGTCAGACAACTGTTTTTACCATCTGACTTGAGCCCAGCCTCTTTCCTTTATTTTTTTTTAATGTAAGAGAAATTCTATTCTCAGTTTCCAAAGATCAGTACAAATCTCAGAGCCTTGATCAGTGTTTGTGCAGTTACTCAAAAAACATTGATTCACTTTTGAGAAGGAAATGTTTATCCCGTTACTTCAATGTTGCACTGAAAAACAGGGACACAACATATTTTAGCCTGCCTTAATACAAGAACTGCCTGATTTTGTGCCATTACGTAACTCTAAGTAAATCTTCATTACAATTAGAAAACAAGATAATAAATTACTGCAAGTAAAGTGGACAGCCCTAAAAGCCACAGGAAGGAGAATAAGGAGCCAGAAATATGGTTTTACTGGGTCACAATTTTATTAACACACACGGGAACAATTCAGCCACAATTTGTCTGGAGTGCACAACTTTTCTTCGCAATTCCTCTCAGATAGCGCGTGGCTGATACCAACCCCCTGCCTCACCCAGAGACACCCTGGAACCCCCACTAGGCCTCACCTCACCTACCCGTGCAAAGGGTGGGCAGATAAAGCAGAGGGATTGTACCCGTACCAAACATCAGGAATTTCAGTTCTACACTCCAACATCTTTAAGAGCTACTTTCTTTGTACATGCCTTCAACCCTGACTCCTCAGGGAGGTGCATCTTCTGCTGATCAATACTTATTCCAGATCTCTGCCAAATTGCAGCAAAAGTGAATTTGATAATCTAATCTATCCAAGGGAATTTCCATGTCGCTAGTAAGCGGGCAGGGAAAAAACCCACTCTGCCCAGACCACTTACAAAGAGTGAAAGATTAAGATCAGCATGCCAAGATGGGAAGTCCCAAAATGATATCTACACAGCAAAAGCAACATGGAAAGGAAAGAAATAAAGCCTTTGTTACTACAGCAGAAGAGAATCTTTAAGGAGGAAGGAAGGTTTAGATACTCTTTTCCACTTCCTTTAGGAATTCCACATCAGTAGATTTATGTTGCATCCTTTTGTCCTATTAGTGGCAGAAAACAAACCAAATAAGGAGTCAAACTGCTTATAATCTTAACAAGATGAGAGCTTCCCAACTCTTCTTGGCCTTTTACAGGTCATCTCTTAATATCTGTGATGGTGTTGAATTGTACCAGTACATACCCACCTCTGCAGGCACATACCACACTGCTATGAAGCTATGACTACCATTTGGAAAAGGATTTAAAGGAAAACTATTTCCTCCTTTAAAACATAACTGAAACTTGACGAAGACACTGAGGGATCCAAAATTCCCTAGAAATAACCTATAACAAAGCAAAGAACAATCATTTCATATGATAGAACTATTTAGTTCAGCTTAGCGCAACTTGGAAAGAAGTTTTATCACAGTAGGGTAATGGATTATACCAGATATTCAAAACCCCAAAACATTCTTGTAGAAACACTTTCAGGAAAAGACAAGTAATAAAACTGAAGACGGAAATGGTGATGTTGCAGACTCAAGGAAGACTATTCCCCTCCTGATGTTATAGTCAGACATAGCCTGGCGATCCTTAGCAGTATTGTGGGCACCCCAGAACAGCCTTTCACAACAGCCAGTTAAAGTACCTCCCTCTTAGATGTTGCTTCAGGAATATTTCTATGAAAACACACCAGCAGAAGCTTCTGTAGCCATCCAATTACCTTTTTTGCAGCATTTTATTATTTCTGTGTCACTCATTTCAGACTTCTTATTAATGGTATGGAAACAAAGTCTGAACTTCAAGAGGTGTCTATAAATAACACTAAGAACGTACAAAGAGTTTACTTTTACTTTTGAAACATCTCTAAAGTCCTACCTGGCATGGCCCCTGTTAAGGACTCTCTCTATTTCTTCACTTAAAGCGTTTGGTTTTTAGCATAACCTTGTTCTCAGTGTGCTGATTTTTAAGTTGTAACTCTTTCTGATGTATTGCAATATTGTACATAAAGTAATAATAAAACAGCATCCTCATCTTGGGGGAGAATGCCGGTTGGCTGGTAGGGTCTCAGAGTCACTAACTGCAACATCTTTCACATTTTCCTTTGTTTCAGCTACATCATCTTTGTAATGAACCAAACTACGATACAGCCTGTAAGTCTATGTATAATCCACAGAAGACATTTTACATTCTCATGCCTTAACAGAGGCAAAGTTCAAGTTACAAAAATATTTGATAGATTTTTCTAAAAAAGAAACGCAGAGATCCTCAAGTTTCTTTAGGGAGAAAAAGCAATGTTTTTTTCCTCTACAGACAGCAGTTTGCATTCAATTTAAGTTCTCACCCTGCCTACTGAGGCATTAGGGAAAAAAAAGCATGCAAAAGCTGATGGCAGCTTGCCATCAATATATAGCATTGCCTGGACCCGATGGAAACACTTTCTGAAATAAATCAGACT